CGGCATCCACCTGTGCCGCGGTAACTACGTAGGCAGCAGACATTTTTCTGAAGGCGCATACGACAACATCGCAAAGAAGATGTTCCAGGTACGTTCATCTCCTTGTTCACAGTTATGAAGTGCTGATCTTGGTAGGACTTGAACGTGGACACATACTATTTGGAATACGACACACCACGTGCCGGAGGATTCGAGCCACTAGCGCATCTTCCCAAGCACAAGAACGTCGTGCTTGGTGTAATCACATCGAAATTCCCCAAGCTCGAAGACAAGGACGAGATGATCGCCAGGGTGAACCAGGCCGCTGATTGGATTGCAAAGGGCACCGGCCAGTCGCGCGAGGACGCCATTCAACAGTGCTGTGTCAGCCCACAATGCGGTTTCGCATCACACGCGGAAGGCAATTCGCTCGGTTACGAAGACATGAGGAAGAAGCTACAACTTGTCAGAAGCATCGCCGATGCCGTGTGGCCGGGCCAACCATAGACGCGGGAATAACAGATAGGGGAGTTTTCGAGAAGGCGCAGGTACCGAGCGACAGAGCGTAGGCCTTAACGCATGCGACTAGAACGAGCATTAGAAGGTGTTGTGGAGTCAGCCGGATGCCGAATTCAACATGGCGTTCGTACGGTGGGTGGAGTCGTAGTTGAGTCAGTTCACTCTGTACCTCGTGGCGAAAAAGAAAAAGGCGGTTCCTGCGGCAGTGCATCTCGCACCACGTGGTATTCCGTCATCCTTCTCGGCGAAGAAGTCGGCAATCTACAGAACCACGTTATGTCCGTTCGCATCCATCGCAGTGCCTATCGTGAAGCCCAGGTCCAGAGAGTCTTCAATGCGCGTTGCTGCTAACACGTGTTAGGCGCTAGCGTCCGCTGTCCCTGGCCGTTGACTCCACACCCGTGGAGTTCCCTTCCGAAGCGGGAGGAACGTCCGGCAATTAGGAATAGGCAGACCAGGGTAAGCGTCCTTGACAGGAGAAATCATCATTTCCTGACCTAGACTTCTGGGTCGGTGCAGGACGCAACGGGGAAAGCGTTCTCACTCCGCGGATGCGTGTTGCCACAACTTCCGTGGATACCACGATGAACGGCGAAAGATTGAAAGCGACTGAAGCAGGCTGTACACCTGCCGCTATGAGATACGTTACTTCGAAAGAAATACGACCACCAACGCTACTGAGCTCACGGATCCATGAGCGCTGTTGCCGGTCTCCAGGTCCCAATGGTTCCAAGGTTCCGTCCCGTGGCGCAAATTGCAACCTGCAAGGTACCCATGAAGGACCCGTATGATCTACGTGCCGGACCGAATGAAAGCATTGTTTTCCAGACCAAGAAGGGATCAACCACCGCGACTACTGAACACCACCTGTTTGGTAAGTATCTCGCCAATGGTTTTTCGTCCGAGGTAGAAGTCGTTCGGCATTGCAAGCCACCACCGGAAAATAGGGGGATGCCGACCTACGCGGTTCGTAAACGATATAAAGGTCAGCAAGACTGCACAGGGTAGGGTCAAGCAGGCCACTTTACAGCCTCTGTCATTCTTTCTTTAAATACCCACCCGAACAGCATAGTAATACCTAATCACCATGTTCTTCCCCCGCGTAATTGGCTACACAGTCGCAGCCTTCGCTTCCCTTGCGGTGGCTGTCGACCTAACTGGCTATGAATACGTAGTCGTCGGCTCTGGTGCAGGTGGTGGTGTAAGTTGAAGAGTATCTCACTGGATGCAACAAATACTGACCAATTCCAAAGCCTCTGGCCGCCCGCCTCGCCCTTGCCGGTCACAAGACGCTTCTCATCGAAGCTGGTGACGACCAAGGCGCCAGCCAGAACTACACCATTCCTGCTTTCAACGCCAGGGTTTCCGAAGACCCCAACCTGAGCTGGAACTTCTACGTCAAGCACTACGCCGATGAGCAGCGCCAAGCTCGCGACTACAAGACCTCCTACGAGACTGTCGATGGAGGCGAGTACACCGGTCTCAGCCCACCTGAGGGTTCCACCATGAAGGGTACGCTTTACCCTCGTACCGGTACTCTCGGTGGATGCACAGCACACAACGCTCTCATCGCTGTCTACCCTCACCAGTCTGACTTCGACAATGTTGCTGCCATCACTGGTGACGATTCTTGGTCCGCCAAGAACATGCGCAAGTACTTCGAGAAGCTCGAGCACAACCACTACCTCCTCCCCGGTCAGAAGGGTCACGGTTACGATGGATGGCTCGGAACCTCGTACGCACCCATCGACATCGTCACCTCTGACCCCAAGCTTCTCAGCTTGGTTGGCGGTGCCGCTTTTGCCCTTTCCAACATGACCAACGCCATCGTCAACCTTGGTACTCTCATTGCTGGTGATGCCAACGCCGACACCGAGAGCCGTGACAAGTCCAACGCTCTCTACCAAATTCCTCTCTCCACCACCGACGGCAAGCGCACTGGATCCCGCGAGTTCGTTCTCGCTGTCCGTGACGCAAAGAACGAGGACGGTAGCAAGCAGTACCCTCTCGATGTCAGACTCAACTGCCACGTTACCAAGATCACCTTCGACCAGGACGTTACTCCTCCCCGCGCTACCGGTGTCGAGTTCCTCGACGGCCAGTACCTCTACAAGGCCAGCCCCAAGAACACCGGCGCAGCTGGTGAGCCCGGTTCCGCCACCGCTTCCAAGGAGGTCATCGTCGCCGGAGGAACCTACAACTCTCCCCAACTTCTCAAGCTCAGTGGTGTTGGCCCAGCCGACGAGCTGAACAAGTTCGACATCCCCGTCGTTGCTGACCTCCCCGGTGTCGGAACCAACCTCCAAGACCACTACGAGATCAACGTCCAGGGCAAGGCTCCTTCCGACTTCTCCGCCCTAAACGGCTGCACCTTCGGCAACACCGACGACGACGCCTGCATCGACCGCTGGGAGAAATCCATCCTCGGCAACCGTGGCATCTACGCCTCCCCCGGCCTCGGCGCCACCATGTTCTACAAGTCCAGCGTCTCCGAGCGCGACGAGTACGACATCTTCGCCTTCGGTGGCCCCGTCAACTTCCGCGGTTACTTCCCCGGCTACAGCTACAACGCCACCTCCGAGCACGACTGGTTCACCTGGGCCATTCTCAAGGCGCACCCGCGCAACAACGCCGGAACCGTTGCGCTCCGCTCTGCCGACCCTCTCGACGTCCCCGAGATCACTTACAACTACTTCGACACCGGTGTTGGCGACTACGAGAAGGATCTCACTGCCCTCACCGAGGCTGTCGACCTCGCCCGTGACTCTTTCAAGCGCCAGCTCGTCCCTATTGACGAAGTCCTCCCCGGCAAGGACGCCAACACCCCCGAGAAGATTGCTCAGTACGCCAAGGACACTGCTTGGGGTCACCACTGCTCGTCTACCTGCCCCATTGGTGCTGATGACGATAAGATGGCTGTTCTTGACTCGAAGTTCCAGGTCCGTGGTGTTGCTGGTTTGAGGGTTGTTGATGCCAGTGTCTTCCCTAAGATTCCTGGTACCTTCACTGCGGTGTCTACGTACATGGTCGCGGAGAAGGCGGCGGATGTTATTCTCGCTGCTGCTGAGGCCTAGAAAGTCGTTTGATGTGTTCATGTCAAGAACCCCACTGTATATAGACGAGAGAATATGATGATGTGTTTTCAACTGCAATTTTTCCAGACGTACTGTAAACTGCATTGTTCAAAGAATCTTGCATCAACGTAAGCGTTCTAGCGTTCCTCACTTTAGCACCTTTTCTTCGCGTGTGTACCTGGGTATTAGTACGGACAAGTCACATGCATAACTTCGAAATATTAATGCATAGTATATCACGTATCAGCGACTTTGGTGAGCGATGGCGTATGACTGCTGCATCACTGAGCGGTTCAGTGCCCGCCCTGTTTGTAGGTGATCTTCAAAGGAGCCTTATTTCATCGAACAAAACTGGTCCGTGCGCACACAAAACTGCAGCATTCTCATGTAAAATCGCACCTTGAAACTCATCAGAGCAGGCTGAAATAGTGTCAGAGTAGTCTCCTGAGTCCACTCTTCTCCCCATAACTTTTTGAGCTCGTTTTAATACGATCTCGTGCGCGTAAACTCGCGCGCAGGTATCGGCCACAGAAATGGACATGGAAGAGCTAGGAGGGGGGCGCCAAGAACGCCACCTCAGCCTGAAGGACAATGGCACCAATAGCATTCCACCATCTGCGCCAACTAGCAGGAGGTAAGTATTTCTTTCTATGCACTGTCGGCCTTCCTCTTTACGAAGCTCCGCTAAGCGCATCACAGTTACGAGACATGCGATCAAGAGCCGCCGTCACTGGCCTACAATGCCGGCTATCAACAACACATATGGCCATGGTCTGCGACACATGCTGAATCTGCACCTGCATATCCTGATGGCTTCGGCGCCTCGTACTCAGGTCCCTCGTTCATGGGGCCAGACGACGTATCTCGGTTCCATGAGCATGTTCGAACTCAGTCCTTCAGGCCTGGATTTATCGCGCTTCCGGAGGTGGAGCCGATGCCAGCTTCGTTCGACTATGGAATCCTAGAGCCTATTGTGGAGTGGTGCGATACCGCCAACTACCTCATGTATGAAGACTCGACTTCTCCGCCTCTAAGTTTAGTCAGCACAAATGACTCGTCCCTCGCCTCCCTCAACGATGAACCGCCTGTATCGCACACGCAGGAGATGCCGAATGGCAGTGTGGAAATCAATTCCCATAGCCGTATGGACCCTGTCAAGCGCTGGCTTCATGATCATCCCTTCGATCGATATCCTACTCCTAAGGAGAAGGCAGACCTTGCTGCTGCTGCTGGGCTATCGAGTCTTCAGTTAGGGCGACGCTTGACTAATCTTAGGAAGCGTGAGAGACGTAGTCAGTAGTGCCGAATCTGTCGATGCATAACGTTTATCAAGGGCTGACTATCTTCTAGCACTTGACCGGTTGTGTAACGAGCCAGAGGCTGCGCTTCAGGCGTTCGGAAGCCCCGACGGAGGAACACAACCCTTTCATGGAAGCACGCAAACAGGATGTGGGCATGCACACCAAGGTAAGACCTTTCTCGCCTGTGAGGTGATAGCATACAAACCGACACCAGCACGCCACATAGCAAGGGCCTCGGGTGCTGCGAACAAATATCCTCCTTCCAAACCTTTATCGTCGGTGCGTACACCAGGAGCTGACGACTTTCTAGGTCGTAAGGGAAAGAGAGTGTATTCATCAAGACATTCATCAGCCATAAGGGAAGCAGTGCGAGGACATTCCTCCCACGCAGCTAGTGATAGCAGTGGGACTACAGCCAAACGGTTTCACTGCACGATGTGCCTAAAGCCCTTCAAGAACTCGTACCTTTGGAGGCGACACGAGTCTGGGGTTCATGGCTTCGGTAGTACCCGATGGATCTGCACACTTGACAGCACAGTCATGACAGGTGCGAAGTGCATCTTCTGCTCCGATATCGTCTACAATATGGACCACTTCGACCAACACAACGTCCAAATTTGCTTGGCGAAAGATACGGCTGAGCGAGTCTTCGATCGCAAAGACCTTCTCAAGCAGCACGTACAGTATGTGCATCTCACCTCAGCCAACGACTACACGAAAAAAGGATTTGAGCCTCCAGACGTATGGCTAGAAACGGAAGACAGTTTCTTGCCGAATCCTGAAGGTCTTTGGTGTGGCTTCTGTCAGCTCTCATTTGATACAGTTGCCAGAAGGATGAAACACGTTGCACAGCACTTCCAGGATGGGGTTGATATGGTTGACTGGGTTCGAAGATTGGATTTTGCAAATAGCGCGATGACTTGAAAGTATGCATTAACGATTTTCCTTTGTATCTTCCAAGGTTGTTTTGGCATCATCACTTCTAGGGCGACTGCGTACATAGGATATATAGGGCGAGCGATTCATGTTATGACAATTATGCACGAGCTATTTTGATGAAGCAGGTTTAAGCGATCATCTAGTACTCTCTTTGCATCAAGTCTGAGCGCAATTTTGCGCAGCTATGGCGGGACGCGCCAGACAGGGCCAATTGTATCATGCGAAGAACCTGGAGGTGCTGCCTTACATTCGTAGGCGCCTGACACGACACGTTCATTGACTTACATGGTTGTGGAGAAGGCAGCGGATACTATTCTGACTGCTGCTGAGGCTGAGATCGGGATGAGATCGGATAGGATCGCTTGCACATCTTAACCAGATGGAATCCTTGGCCTACTGGCACGGTTAGAGTGACTTTTGGACTAGTCGTGGAGATATTATTCGGCCTAGCCTTGGTAATGGATTGAAGCACCACGTAAAAACCTCGAGTACAGCGACTGTACGAAAGTTGCAAACATGAAGCAGTACTAGACGGATCAAATTTGAGGCGACTGATGTGCACGTGATTCTTTCGCCACATCTCGCTGAGCGCCGGTGGCACCTGTTTAATCTAACCAGATTTGGACGTGATGGTTCCGTACGCACAAGTCCTCTGCGACGCCTTGAATCTCATTGTGAAAGATTAAGATGATTCTCTGAAGCCTCCTGAGACTCTGTCACCTTTTCCCCGTTTTCAAAATCTTTTTCTGGACGTTTGTCGTTGTGCTAGAATTGATTCTAGATTCCAACAGTAAAAGCTTGGCGGCGGAGCTATGAACCCCTCGCTCCCGGTGGCTGACATTACCAGTGTAAGTTAGGCTCATACCCCACAGAGACCCGAAGTCCGGGGCTGCCTTGAGCCGTCTTGAACGAATCTACAACTAAACGTTCTAACACCGCACCAGGACTTCCAGCAGGATGATTTTGGAACGCTGCGTAGTTACACTGATATCGCAAACAGTAATGAAGAAAGGTATGGCTAGTATTTTACATCATCGGATCATCATACGCCTACCTAGGTAGTTTCGCTTATGATGGCGCGCGCGCACTTCATCGCGGCAGAGCTCTCCAGGGCTGCATGCACACTATCAAACAGTTATCAACTTGGACACCCATTCGTACACTGCTGACCATAACTCGCACCAGGCAAATCTGGGATGAGGTCTTATTGGACTTGGACACCGACATTGTCTTCCGTCACAACGCCGAGTATTTGCATCTTGCGTCCGACCACGTCGACGAGGTCGATGATCACGTCACGCACGTCGACAACAGCGCCAGCTACTTTGCCCAAGGTTCGCGGCACAGCGACTTCGTTTCCTTGGGTGATATAGAACTCGGCAATACCCTAGGTGTTCCTGTCACCCCTACGCAGCCGCTTCAGTATCTTCTTGACGCCGGAGACGTACAGGATGAAAACGATTCAACTAGCTCATGGCCTCCGTATGGCGTCCCTGCTGATCAAGATGATGTTGTAGACTCTTCGCATGCAGAGCTTCTGGACTCTGGCCCATGGAGGCTAGATGCTGGATGCATTCATGCAGACCCCACCCAGCAGCCAGAGGATCATCCGCAAACATCAAGGTCACATGGCAGCCCGCATCTTAACCCTTTCAAATCGACTGGTAATCGAGGACTGCGGCGGATCGTACGCCGTTGGCTCTCCGATCATGCATCTCAGCCTTATCCTTCACAAACAGAGAAACACACTCTTGCTGAATCTGCCGGTTGCTCTGTAGACCAACTCGAAATCTGTTTTAGAAACATTCGAGCCCGTGAAAAGCACTGTAAGCCTGTATTATCATGTCTTGACTACCCCGCTGACATTACATTTAGTGTTTGATAGCCAGGTCAAGGTGCGAAATGGCGAGGTTACATCCAATACAGGACTGCACGCCACCATGTTGGCCCAGTCAAGCTACGCACAACCTGTATTCATGTCTTTCGCTGACGATGGCGTTATCTCCCCGCCTATAACGAACACGAGCGACAGCAGTTCATGGCCTTCGCCGTCTGACCCAGGCTATCCCACGCCAGACAACAATCAAGACACTGAAAGTCAGGTCTACCAACATCCTGCAGCGGAATCGGCGCGTCAGGTAGCCTTCAGTGTGTCCGCTCTGCAGGAAGCTGCCATGCCAAAGCGCAAAGGTCGGAGGTATCACGCTCAGAGACAACAACACGGCACCACGAGCGAGCACCTGCCTTGTGCGACACAAAAGACCCCGTCTTCTTCCAGTCATCAGAAACCCGAGGAAAGATTCCCCTGCACTGTATGTGTCAAGGCTTTCAAGAACCCTTCGGAGTGGAAGAGACATGAGGCTAGTGTGCATGGCTACAACGATCGAGAGTGGGTTTGCGTGTTGACGGACACATTCAAGCTGCAGTCTGAATGTGTCTTCTGCTCGGAGCCAATGGACACGGTCGATCATTGTGACAAGCATTCTATCACTCCCTGTTCGAGCAAGTGCACCGCCGAACGTAGTTTTCCTCGCAAGGATCTCCTTAAACAGCATGTCTTACTTGCGCATCTCGCGGATGCACCTCCGCCAATCAAGAAGGGGTTTGAGGTACCCAAGGAATGGTCAAGAGGTTTGGATGTCTCGCCTGGTGGACCTGGCTCACGCTGGTGTGGGTTTTGCGGATGCATGATTGAGACTACCGCGAAGAGGATGGAACACGTCGCGCAACACTTTCGCGAAGGTCAGAACATGACGAGTTGGATTCGGATGTAAGGTGTCGGTTGCTTGGTCTTTTTTGGTGTTGTTGTTATTGTATCTTTTAGCACACTTACGATTAACGTCATGACCTCGAGGAATTCACGTATCTTTTTGATTGTTTTTGCCTAATGATCTTCTCGGCAGGTGTTGCACAAAATTCCCATAGCACCCGATTCTCGTCTTTCGTTGTTCAGCTAAAGCCGGCGTTTCCCGTTCTTCTTTTGCGCAGCTGCGCAGGTGGGCCACCAGCCGAGCGAGAGTGTGCGGCTTCGCGACGCGGGCCTAGCGTGGAAGGCACGCGAGCGCGTCAACCAGCGCAGCTACACTCTAGATTACCAACAGACTGCATCTTGATGCAGTCATGCTATCAGCGCTTCGACCCAGCATCATACTGCGACATTCGTTCCGCGCTAGTGCACGTCTTGCCGCGACCCAGGCTTCTCGCGCCATCACCTTAACATGTCGGGGTAACTACTGCGCGGTCCCAGCCTCGTTCATAAGCCAACGAAAGCAGGCAAATCGATCGACCGCGAGGACGTGTTCAAGTACACGAACGGACGTTTTTTAGCAAACGAGAAGAAAGCAGTTGATCGCAGACATGTAAGGTTTGACTTGGATCAGCTTTGCGCCGTAGCTGCGACTACTGGTGGGCGGCACTCGCCCGTCTGCGCGATCGACAAGATGGAAGGAGGGTTCAGCAAAGCACTTCTTTTGCGCAAAGAAGATGGCAGCGAGGTCGTTGCAAAGACACCCTTTCCTATCGCAGGGCCGCCCAAGTACACCACGGCGTCGGAGGTGGCTGTTCTCAAATACCGTACGTCCTCGTTATTCAGGAAAGCCTGCGTGACATCGGCTCATCCAATCGCTGTCGGCAGTAAACAAGTATACTCAAGTCCCAGCACCGAAAGTTCTAGCATGGAACGCTGATCGGTCAAACCCGGTCGGTGCTGAGTACATCATCATGGAAAAGGCTCCTGGGGTTCAGCAATTCGAAGTGTGGGGAAACTTGAATGACTGGGAGAAATTCAAATTCTTTGGCCAATTGTCCGAATCCGCAAAACAGATGGCCGAAATCCGGTTCCCAGCGAGTGGAAGTCTTTACCTTTTGGAGTCAATGACAGAACGCGACACACACGTCGCTCTGAGCCAAGAGACTGACCCTGTGGGAGAGTTCTGCATAGGCCCCTCATGCGAGCGAGGATGGCATACTACGGAGGCATTAGCAAGTGCAAGCCCTCGATTTGATCAGGGGCCATGTAAGTACGATCCTGGACGATTCGCGTCATAGCTGACTTCATCAGGGCCGGATTTGTCTTCATATGGAACTGCTCTCGTCGAGCGAGAACTCGCAATCTTGCGAAAGCGCACTTCCGATGCAACGTTTGATTCACCGCGAGGAACTCTCGAGGAGCAGATCGATACCCTCAATATGACCAAAGAGGTCATGTCTCGACTGCACGACCGCACGCTTATCGGAAAAGTTTCTGAGCCGGTGCTATGGCACACAGACCTCCACATGGGCAACATTTACGTGTCAGGGCGGATGCCACCACAAATCTCATCGATCATCGACTGGCAGTCTATTGTAGTCTCGCCACTGTTCTTGCAAGCACGATTTCCGAAATTTCTTACTGTCGATGAAGACTACGAATTGGGTGCTCTTAAGCTTCCAGACCCGCCACCTGATCTAGACAAAATGGATGCTAAAGATAAGGAACTGGCTGAGTATAAGTTTGAGCAAGCTAAAGAAGCAAAGGTGTACGAAGTCAGTACCGCAGCCACGAATATGCGGGCTTGGAGGTGTATGCTGATATCATCATTCCTCCGCGAGCTCTTCACTCGGTGCGGAGAAGTCTCAGAAGAGGGCGAGATACCACTTCGCGCGTGTCTCCTCCAGGTTGTTGATTTATGGGACGAAATCGGCTTCGAAGGCGAATGTCCGCTCAACTTCAGCGAAGAGGATGTGCAAAGGCTTGAGCAACAGTTCGAAAAGTACAGTAACTACCACAAAGTGCACGAATTTGCGAGAGGAATCCTTAATGCTGATTTCGAAGGCTGGATCAATCCGATGTTGGACTTCGCTGCGAAAGAACAGCAGAACAAGGAGTTGCTAGAAGAGTTCGTGCGCAGGAGTAGTGAGTTTGGCATGACGCCGGAGGAGATGAGGAAAATTTGGCCGTACTCGGAACGGTAGCGTATGATTCAGGGATGTGAGAGCATTGCGTATTGTCGTTGGGTTGAAGTCAGTTACATAGTAGCTTACAAGATCCTAGCATACAAAACCGCGCAACACTTCGATTCGAAGTTTCACAAACAGCTGAAAGCCTTTCACGTTTGTGCGTTCACCGCTGCCGCTTTCTCATCACTAGTGGCATCCGCGCCATCTGCTTCCTGCTTCGACGTGTCGTGGGCGGATTTTCCCTGCGCTACTTTCGGAATGTACTCTGGTGACTCAAGTTCTCTTGCCGGTAGAGCCCCGTACAGCTCAGCAGGTCCATGGCTATCGGCGCATTTTGCATTTACCTCACGGTTTCTTGTGTCTCCCATCATTTCACCAGTGCCAATGTGGTGTTGTGTCCATTTCTGGTCGTGGCCGGAAGTGTCCCAAGAATATGTGGGAGGTGCTATACGCAGTCAGTAGTGAGACTCATCTGTTTAATGTTATAGAAACGTACGTGAGAATCCGTTTGATGGTGCGAGACCGGTAGTTGTTGTAGGCGATGCCAGTTCGGCCTTTGGTATCACTTGGCCGTTCGCTGCCTCTGCTTCCGCATTCGCTTTCTTGTTGCGCCGGTGGCGGAACAGGAAGAACACGACTGCGGCGATGATAATTACGCCAGCGAGTGATCCCCCGACAGCACCTCCAATGACTCCGCTAGAAACTCCATCCGGGCTGGCGGAAGCTGATGGTGTAGGCGTAACGCTGGCGGGCGCAGATGTGCTGACAGCGGTTGAATATGCCGTGGGTGCGGGAACAGTGGACGAAAGCGCGACGTTCAGGTCATGGAAGTAGTAGTACTGATCGGGGCGGTCCCAGAACGCTGGCTCTAGTTGCCCCTCTGGACATGTCGAGTTGTTCATGCACGCATCTTCATTGCAACATCCATAGAATGTCGGAGCCATTGAACAAGTCCAGAAGGGTGTTGTACCACCACATGATGCGCCAGGCGAGATATTGTTGAGTCTTGGATTACGACCCGCTGGTTTCAGTGCATCGCCGAAGCAGGCATGCTGGCACGGATCCGACATGCAGCATCCGACGAACTTTGTGCCCGTCTCGCAGACGTACCTAAAGACTGTTAGCTTCTTGCTTGGTCGCGCTATTGAGTCACGCTTTCGTGTTGAAGGTGATGTTCATTCCGATGTCAGATTGTTGACGCACCAAGTACCACCATCTGGACAGAAGAAGTCGCCCGGCTCAGCCGCTGCATAGCTGGGATCTGTCATGTCGAAAACCTCTTTTTGAGTATGAGAGAACGGAAAATTGGCAGCAAATCAAGGCGGCAGAGGAAAAGATAACAAGAGATCAGACTGAGGTATCGACCTACGAAGGTGCGCGAAGCAGCCCTCAGGCGCCCGTCATACTTAACAGCTGGCTATCGCAGACCCAAGAACGCCAAGTAATTGCAACCCAAGACATATATTGCTGTTATGACGCAGTTGCAACGGCTATGGCAAGATGTGCCCTGGATGATTTAGTGAAGGGCCCTCTGGCGGCCTATTCGTCCTTCATGGCTGCAGAATGGGCTGTCATGCGAGCAGCGTTCGCATACGGTAATCCAGACGCCACCGGACAGGGGACAGCTCGCGTAGCAAGCCTATAGAAGGCTCGGAGACTGAGCAAGACAGAAAGCTGGGGCCGGTCAGACTGAACTCTGGTGGTGATCAGACCTCAAGATGGCATGTGGGGTGGTTCGTCGAAAGCGCGCTGGTTGGCAGGAGATGCATTTTGCCAGATGCTCATACATGCGTTAAGCAAGGGCGTGGTCAATACTTGGAGTGTGAGCAGTATGCTTGCTGTAAGGGTTGCCCTTTCAGATAACGGGTATCTCCCTTCCAGAAGTCCACGTCCTCATGCGACTTGAAAATGTTGCTTCGTTGCGCACTACTAATCGCCCTTGAGGCCAGGGTAGGATGATGAGCAGCCTCTTGAACAACGAATTTACCTTCCTTTATCACACCGCAATGCCTTCTTGACGGTTGGAGATTTCACCTGCAGCAGCTCGTCCTTGGTTGAGTGAAACGGCATAAGATAACATGTTTGTCGTAGAAATGCATCTGCGTAGGCGATGTACGAGGCGCACGACGCTCATCTCCGAGTGGCATGCGATATCCTTATCTGAGTATGACTGAGTAGAGTAAGAGCAGTAATGGTTCTTGTATGAGAACAATGCATGTTGGCGGCCCTTGCGTGCCCTTCCTTCGCTGTTTTCTCGGAGGTCTTCCCAGACATGTCCCTGTGTGTTAGTCGCTGAGGCCCACGCTGCCGCGATGTAAAAGCGCTTCGATCCATGTAATTGCGGACAGTATTTTCCAGTTACTCACATCATCTGTGGGAGTTTTGTGAGTGTTCTTCTAGATGTTTTAGGAGTGAGCGTGCTGAATCTGCCGGGGCGCGGTAATTCCTCGGCCAAACTAGGCAAGAAGGCTGCCCCGCACTGGCACCCCGCGCAGTACAGCGTACCTTCTTTTGTCTTTCCCCAAATTGCGCATTACGGAGTACCTAAGACACATCGCACTAACGTCAATATTATCTGATACTTGTTCCTTCACTGCCAAAGCTTCGTACGGTAAAGTCGACACTATCGACGGTGCTGCTTCGATCAGAGAGAAGAACAGCTGACCACCTCTGATGAAAGCCAGCACAAGCCGCTCCAAGATGGCAGTGTTTAAAGATAAGATGCACCATGTGAGTACAAGTTTGTAAACGTGTATTGCATCACTCATGTGAGTTACCAGCCTATCGCTGCGTTTCAAGCAGCCGCAATGCCCGAGCTGTTCAGTTCAATGCCTTC